GATAGCACCCCTATAAGGGTACCCCCCATTTTCGGTTTTGGTTGCATTTTTCGACCGAATTGGCTGTAAATTGGTACTTTGAGTTCTTATTGGGTACCTAATCTCTCTACTAAAAATTATAAATACAGGTAAATTTTTTTCTGGTACCCCCCATACAACGGTGCCCCTCAATTTTTGGTACTTTGGGGTTGTTGAGCGCATTTTTCAACCGAATTCGCTGAAATTTGCTACATTGGGTTCCTATTGAGTACTAAATGTCTCCATAAAAAATTATTAATATAGGACCACCTTTGCTGGTAGTCCCCATATAACGGTACCTCCTAATTTTCAGTATTTTGGTTGTTTTGATCGTATTTTAAGCCGAATTAGCTGTATTTTAGTATTTTGAGTTCTTAATAGGTACCAAATCTCCCCACAAAAAAATTATGAATATAGGTTTATTTTTTCGGATAGCCCCCATGTAAGGGTACCCCCAATTTTCGGTACTTTAGGGTTCTTGAGCGCGTTGTTTAACCGAATTTTCTGCAATTTGGTATTTTGTAGTCGTATATGGTAACAAATCTTCCTACCAAAAATTATTAATATTCGCCCTCTTTTTGGGGTAGTCCCCATATAACCCCCTTTTCATACCCTTCACCACACTGTGGTACAGGGTATTATGTCTTTGTGCATATGTTTGTAACAGGAAAAAGGAAACGAGATAGACACATGGTTCCTTTTGAGACATGCATAGAATCACATTCTGAGTCGATTTATGCATGTCCGTCCGTCTGTAGATGTTAAATTGTAACCAAAGTACAGGTTGCATTTATCATCCGATTTGGATGAAATTTGGCACAAGTCACTTATTTGGCCCAAGGACGAACCCTATTGAAATTGGGAAAAATCGGTTCAGGTTTTATGTAAATGGTGCACCAAAGTCCCTATATATCCTTCGATTTGCATGAAATTTGGCATAGCATTCTGAATTAAACTTATAACGACGTGTGTTAAATTTCCTGAAAATTCGTTCAGATTTAGATATAGCTCCCATATATATTTTCTTCCGATTTTAGGTAAATAGTGCACCAAAGTCCCTATATGTCCTTCGATTTGCACGAAATTTGGTATAGAATACTGAATTAGGTCCAGAATGATGTGTGCTATATTTCGTGAAAATCGGTTCAGATTTAGATATAGCTCATATATATAGTTTTGTCCGATTTTATGTAAATGGCGCACCAAAGTCCCTATATTCCTTTCGATTTGCATGAAATTTGGCACAGCTTACTGAATTAAGTCTAGAATGATGTGTGCTAAGTTTCGTGAAAATCGGTCCAGATTTAGATATAGCTCCCATATATATTTTCGTCCGATTTAAGGTGAATGTGGCGTCAAAGTCCCTATATATATTTTGATTTTCACAAAATTTGGCATAAAGTACTGAATTAGGTCAAGAATGACGTGTGCCAAGTTTCGTGAAAATCGGTTCAGATTTCGATATAGCTCCAAAATATATTTTCGTCCGACTTTACTACTTTCCTAACTGGTTTATATTAAAATATATGTCTGATTTGTTCCGCGTCTTGAGTTTGGTTCTAAGACTCTGTTGTAATCATTTCTGATGCGTAGGATAGCGCCATAAAAAAATATAACGTAAGGTTCGATAATGAACTATAGCCGCATTTAGACCTAGCCCCTGTGAGAAGGTTCCAGAAGGAGTGGACCGATATTCCCCATCTTTGAATTTGAACAAAGTTTGGAAGAAATAAAAAGATGAGCAAAGTTTGGACGAAATCTAAAATTTTCTGAAACGGATTTGGTCCAAAGAATCATGGCTGAGGGTATAATTATCCATTAAAACTTTCTGAACTTTTTTGACTACATTTGAGTCTTCTGGTGTAAAAGTTTAAACCCGGAAGAAGGTTCGAGTTCAGAGGTAGTTGTGTAGGGAATCATATGGTCGGTCCCGTTCGACTATACTGCTCAGCTCTCTGCTTTTTTGATATGTCACTCATTGGGATGCCAAAATATGAAATTAGATGCTGCATGTTAAAAAGCCGCCGACACCGATCTTATCAAAACTTGTCTCAACTCCACTATGCCCAAAAAATGTCAACACTCAATAATCATGATATGATAATCCAATAGCATTTCAGTTTTAACGCCATTCATCAAAACGGCAGCGAATATTAATGATTAAGTTATAACGCTTTAGTTGACATTGTGTGTGTGGTATATAAGACAAGACAGCATGGCTACATTTGATCATTTGATTTAATTACGTAATTCAGATCACAAACAGCGGGAAACTCGGATTAAAAATGCGAGGTGTTACGGTAAGCTGTTAAAAATAACATAACAAATTAGACATAATAAATGATTCACATCATTTGATTTTCGGTATTTTTAGATAACAATTATAACAATTTTGGTGGCAATGACCCATGGCTATAATTATGACAGATATAGTTCAACAACAGCGGCCGATGATCAAAGTGATGATATTCAGCGTATATCTGAAATTCTGCATCCATCAGCATCATCGCATAATTCTCAAGTACAAAAAGATATTTTTACATTTTCACCACCAGAATTGGATGTAGACGATGATAATGTGAATGTTGAAAACACCAAGACATCGTCGAAAAAACGTTTTAGAATCATTTTTATACGTTCTCCAGATCAATCACGTGAATTTGCACAAAATCTAGCACATTTGGTACAAAATAATATCTCAGAAGAGAAGACAATTATTTATGTGTTGAGAAAACAACCAGATCTTAGTGAATTGACCCAACAGCTGGAAGAGATTAAGCATGAAAATCGCCAAAAGCCGGAGGTGAAATTTATTAAATATCGTAATGCCGCGGAAGCTGAGCATGCTGTGAAATCTATTCAAACGAGTTATGAACAATTGGGTGGGCGAACACAGCACCATGGTGCTGTTGTTGCACCAGTTGTACGGGTTTCTTCACAACCCTATATCAAGTAATTTTGTTGTAAAAATATTAATTTTCAGTTTATACAATTAAATAAGTGCCATTAAAATAAATTAAAGTGATAAATAAATTAAAAAACTAGTATGTGTACTAAAAATAACTACTGTTTAGCTTTGTTTGGCGGGCCAACATTTTTTTATTTGGGAATTAAAATCGATTCGGTGTCTTATATGGGAATTTCCGGAAATAGGTAAACAAACCGAAGTTGAAGAATGTTTTTCTTTTATTGTACTTTAATATGCAAAATTACGGAAGAAAGTACAAAGAAAAACATTATTTGTCATTATACCCAACACAACTATGTTGTCATGGTATTATAGCTTTGTGCAGCCCAAGAGTTTGTAACGCCGCGAAATATTGTCGATCTAGACATGTGTGTCCGTCCGTCCGTCTGTCCATTATAATTTGTAAACACGATACAGGTCACAGTTATGGACGAATCTTCACGAAATTTTGCATGTAGGATGGGTCGGCCCAATGAAGACCCCTATTGTAAAGATCGTTTAATGTTTAGGTGATAAAATGGACCAAATACTTAATTTTTGTCAGTTTTTCAGGTCGCTCCAGAGACCACAATTATGGCCCAAACATCGTGAATTTTTACATGGAGAAGGGGATTGTGCCAAAGAATAAGCATGCCTATTTTGATAAAGATCGGCCAATATTTAGCGGGTCAAATGAACCTGGCTTTTGTGTGAAAAATTACAAAATTTTTATTCTTTAGTGTATATATTCGTATGTACTCGGATGCGGAAGTTACACTTAAATATTTACGTGTGCTTACATATTCAGATATTATTTAGTAACCCATTACCCCACTAGAGGGCGGAAATATAGCGCTGATCGCTTTGAAATGTTCCATGAAGTTCTAGTTATGGTCAAGGACAATGCCTATAATTTCGGTGATGATCAGGTAATAATATTGGAATGAATTGGACCGAAAACTTTTTTGTTTTTGTTTTTTTTTTTTAAGGCGATCTACAGGCCACAATTGAAAGCTCAGCATCACAACATAACCCACGGTAAAGAGAATCTGGACAAGTACAGCCCTCGTCTACTGAATATTAGAAATATTTGTTGACATCTAGTCGGTCTAGAGGGTGCAAATATCGCGAAATATTGCCCAAGCTCTGAATATAGAACCATAGAAAGTTAGATTTTCGTCGAAGTTGTGTAGGGTATCATATGGTCGTCCCCGTCCGACTATACTGCTCCGCTCACAGGTTGTTCTTGTTCTTGGCATAAACACCAATTAAGTGACTACAAATGTAGATACGACAGAAATGAAAACTACACAATCTAAAATACGCCGCGTGAGTGACCCAGAATTATCCTTTGCATCCTTTGCATTATACTTTCTTCAAAACAGTTTTTTACGGATGTCGGAACGAAAACTCAAAAATTAATAATCCACTCCGTTCCAAATTTGTACATAGCTATCGTATGTTCCCTATTTTCCAGCTTGGCTTTTGTTCGAATAAGAGATTTAAAAAAAAAAAAACAAATAAATAAACCAGTAAGGAAAGTAGTAAAGTCGGATTGGGCCGACTATGTGAAACCCTTCACCACTTTGGGTATATTCAACATATGTATCGATTTTTCGAAGGCAAATTGACATGAAATTGAACGAACTTAAATATGCGACCTTTGTCTATATCCGAACCGACTATCTTCAATCCAGTCATTCTGCAACATATGCTAAACTTTGTAAACCGATTTAAAGCAAACTTGACACACGCTATTCGGTATGCTGCACTGTTAATAGTTTAATCTCAATCAGACACTCATTGATTATTTGGTGTACAGTTAACATGAATAAGTCGAAATTATATATGGAAGCTATGCTATATCTATATCTGAATCGATTTCAAGGAAACTTATCAGAGAATAATTTATATAAACTTCAGTACGTTGTGTCAATCGGCCTAGCTATGGATCTTTAGTGCACTATTTAAATTCATGCTATGCCAAATTTCGTGCAAATGAAAAGATTTTCCGTGTCTAAAGTCCGTAAATCCGATCAGCCAAATTGGATTATAAATGCGATGTTACAATTTAACATCAACAGACGGACAGACGGTCGGACGGTCGGACATGCATAAATCGAAGGGTATAAGGGTATAAACGGTATAAAAAGTAAATAATTTTTGTAGATTTGCTATGTTGTTTTTGAGCAAAGTCAAGAGTCCTACTTTTTACCAGAGTCAGACGTGTACTCTTTCTAATCGGGTTGGAATTTTGAGATTCGAAACGACAATCATTCCCGACGTCGAAAAGAAGGTCTTTTGGAATTATTTGGGAAAGAGTTGGAGCCCTTCAGACTACTAATCATTAAGTTTTCCCATAAAAATCCACAGGCCGTCAATTCACATATAAAAACTATTAAGATTCACTGTTATAGGTCACCTATATTACTTGTTACTTCAGATTGCCGAAAAAGACATGGTTCTTCCTATGAAGTTTCAATAATTCAGCACGCCTATGAGCAGTCCCTCCAGTTCTCCCATATTGGCTGTATTCAACTTCTCTACAAAGACTACCACCACCTCGTCTATAAAGACTGCCTTTTACACGTTTATAACCACTCTCGTCTCGTCAACACATTCATCAAGTCCGTCTACAAAACCCCGGAGGTCTTCAGCTCATATGTTATAATACATTGTCCGTAATGCGTCCATATTTTGTACTTTGCTTATAAAATTTCCCTGTTCAGCAGATATTTGTCAATGAAATCTCCCTTTCAACTCGTGTATAATGACCCTCTATAGCTCGACTATAAATTCTACCGTTCACTCCCTTATAAAAGCCTACTGCCTTTCAGAAATTTTATAAAGTCTCATGCCTATAAATGCGCCGTTTCCTTGAGATTGACTATAAGGACTTCTCAAACACAATTATAAGTATCTCCCTCTGTTCAAATATAAAAACACCCTGACATTCATTATTTTTAAACTCATCGTCGATAAAAACCCTTTCTTCCGTGTACTCCCTTCAGCTCGTCTATGAACGACTCTCTTCAGATCGTCTATTAAAGATTCCCTTCAGCGCTTCTCTGAAAGACTCCCTTCACCGCGTTTATAGAGACTAACTAGGTCGTCCATAAATACTTACTTCAGCACATCAATGGAAAAACTCTCTTCGGTTCATTTATGAAAGTCTCTCTTCACCTTTGTTTATAGAGACTTCTTTTTGCTCGTATATGAAAGACTCCCTTCAGCTCGTCTTTAAAAGACACCCTTCAGCTCGTCTATGAAAGACTCCCTTCAGCCCGTCTATGAAAGACTCCCTTCAGCCCGTCTATGAAAGACTCCCTTCAGCTCGTCTATAAAAGACTCCCTTCACCATAAATAATCAGTTCAGCACATCAATGGAAAAACTCCCTTCAGTTAATTTATGAAAATCTTTCGCTCGTCTATGAAAGATTCCCTTCAGCTCGTCTATGAAAGACTCCCTTCAGCTCGTCTATGAAAGAATCCCTTCAGCTCGTCTATGAAAGACTCCCTTCAGCTCGTCTGTGAAAGACTCCTTTCAGCTTGTTTATAAAATACTCCCTTCACCTCGTCTATAAAAGACTCCCTTCACCATAAATAATCAGTTCAGCGCATCAATGGAAAAACTCCCTTCAGTTTATTTATGAAAATCTTTCGCTCGTCTATGAAAGACTCCCTTCAGCTCGTCTATGAAAGAATCCCTTCAGCTCGTCTATGAAAGACTCCCTTCAGCTCGTCTGTGAAAGACTCCTTTCAGGTTGTTTATAAAATACTCCCTTCACCTCGTCTATAAAAGACTCCCTTCACCGCGTTTATAGAGACTAGGTCGTCCATAAATAATCAGTTCAGCACATCAATGGAAAAACTCCCTTCAGTTAATTTATGAAAATCTTTCGCTCGTCTATGAACGATTCCCTTCAGCTCATCTATAAATACTCCCTTGGGCACGTCTATAAAAACTTCATTCAGCTCGTCTACAGAAACCACCTGCCCTTCTGATCTATAATGACTCTTTGCTTTTTTCCGACACCATACTTCTTTCTTCACTATAGCTGTGGAGACACCCTTTTGTAGGGGTGTCTTCCTTCAGTTCATCTAGAAATAATCATTTTAGCTAATTTAAACCCTTTCAACTCCTCTAACAGGATTCGGGTAATTTGAAGACAATTATTTAAAAATGCCCTTTTGTTAATCCGATGGTTTAATTTAAATAAACGCACCACACCCATTTATGGAATATCAAAAGTCACCCGTGTGTTAAGGGTCAATAGACAATTTAACAAAGAAAGTTCAGACGATGCCAGTCAATGGCCAACCTGAATACACAGGCAAAAAAGTTTAGGGGCATGTAGCAGACCATGTCGGTTTTTTTGTATAAACAAAAAAAATATAAATTTAATTCGCTGGAAGGTGTTTTTTAAACTATAGACGGAGACTAACTTTAGCTGCAGTCGTTTTTCCGGTTTAATTTTGAAAAAAAAAAACATCATTGAAAATGACTTGGGGAAATTTAGCGTAAGGCATTAGTTGACTTCCCCCATTAAAAGAAAACATGCACACGGAGGTGTGTGGCAGAAATAAAAACAAAAAAACTAACATTTTGCAACTATGAACAACACGACGCGGCACATGGGGGAATATAACTTTAACAAATGTTGCCACAATAAAACAGCATAAATAACGCAGAGACTTGCAATAATCTTAAACAATGTTTATGTTTACATTCCTTGGATTCGCATTCGTGAGAGCATTAACCTAACTTCTGTACGTTGCCTCATTAAATACAATCCTTCCTTATACGTTTTATTTAGAATAATGTGTTGCACGAGTTTATACTTTTGGGGGAGACGTCTTAGCATGCTGGTGATGCATTCCAACACGTTCGCATCTCTAGGATCTCATATGTACATACGAAATCGTGTGCGTGTGTTTGTTTAAAGACATAAGGTAGTTTACACGTTATTGCACAATTTTTCATATTATACACGAGCACGATTTTATCT